TTCTTGTCTGTATTTTACATTGTTGGACAATTTATTTCTTTTATTAACATAAACAAAAAAGAAAACAATGAACCGTCATCCTTTAAGCTTAACAAACCAAGAACTGGATAGGTAAGAAAATTACTCAATGTCACCAAGTAACTATAAGAAAACAATTTCAAGTTTGGGGGCTATTCTTAGTCCTATATTCTGAGATCAGCATACCCAGTGCCAGCACAGACAAAGAAGTGGCTTGTACCACTTTCTCCTTCATTGCTCCTACAGTGCTCCTGCCAAAGGAAGACTTGTGGGAAGACAACTGACAAGACAGGGCATGTAAAAAATACACATCCACTGCAAAAAAACTCTTGCGCAGCAAGCTCTTCCATCTCGCTCGACAGAGAGTTTGAAGCAACTCCTCAGACTGTAAAAGTTTGAGAAATATGTCTTTCCAATGTTGCTGGGTCTCAGAAATTGACATAAATGGTACTTGATTACATACATTTCCACAGATACATGGCACCACTCTTCCCTTTGGACTTTATATTGTGCATTCTCAAACATGAAAATGTCTACCTAAACTAAGCTAACCTAGTTCTTAAGTAACACTGAGAAAAATACAGTAATAGTAGATATACTATTATTAATACTTAATACTCTCATTATCAGTCTCCCTGTGCCTTCTCTTGCCCAATCCATCATCCTCACGGCAGCCACAGTGATATTTGTAAAATGCAAATCCAATCATAACAGATGCTGCTTAAAACCTCTAATGGATCGCAGGGACTCCAGATAAAGTCCTAAGCTCTTAATGTGTTTGTAAAGCCCTTCAAGAACCAGCTTGGCCCTGCTCCTCTCCCTCCTTTATTCCCTTTCTTTTCCATGAACCATACTTCACCCAGCACAAGGAACTTCCATGTGGTCCTGTCATCATTACTCAGTCCATGGCATCCGTCTGGCCCGTGTCTGGAGTAGCCACCCCATCTATTACTCTCTGGCACTCTGTACTTCCTCTATCATAGCTGTACTAAACCCTAAGCTCCGTGAAGACAGAGCTTCACCTCTATCCCACTCACTGCTTTTTCTCCAGTGCCTCACTGAGTGAATGATGATAAAAATTAAAATGTCATGCTGCAGGAGTCAAAGGTCTGCTGACCCTGGAATTCTACAACCCAAGATGGTACCTAAGTCTACCTCAGAAAGCAAGACATAGACACCTAACTTCACCTTGATAAGCTGCTACAAATAATTTCCCCATTGCTCTAAATCTCCCTTGAATCATCAGAGCTGTCAAACTTCTTAAAGAGGCAAGTTTCCTATATTTACTTTTAATTATGTATACGTCTATTCTATAAATTGGTTCTACAAGTCAATAACTTGTATGAATAGCCACAAATCTTCAACAGCTCCCATTTCACTCAGAGTAAAAGCCAAAGTCTTTAAAATAGTCTAGAATAGCACTGTATAACCTAAACATAAAATAAGCCATATATGTAGCTTCAAATATTCTAGTCACAATAAAAAAGAAATACGTAGAATTAATGTAAATAATATACCTGTATTTTACTTAAGCTAACATAACCAAAATGTTATCATTTTAACATATAATCAACGTTAAATTATTAATAAAAGACTATATCTTTGAAATTCTATATTTTCTACATCCAGAGCAGTTCAATTTGGATGCTAAATTTTCACCAGAAATAATCTATTTCTAGAGTTCATAAAATTTGCAGTTGAAAGAGAAGATTCACATACCCAAATTGTCCCAAACATACTTTTTCCAACATAGAGAAGTTTCCCAATGACTGTATCTAGTAACCTTTTTGTGTTTATTTGTTTTTGTTTTTGAGACAGGATATCACTCTGTCACTGGGCTGAAGTGCAATGGTGTGGTCTCAGCTCACTGCAGCCCCCACCTCCCAGGCTCTGGTGATACTCTCACCTCAGCCTCCCAAGGAGCTGGGACTACGGGTGCATGCCACCATGCCTGGCTAACGTTTTGTATTTTTGTAGAGATGGGTTTCACTATATTGCCCAGGCTGGTCTTGAACTCCTCTCAAATGACCTGCCCACCTCAGCCTCCCAAAGTACTGAATTACAGGTGTGAGCCATTGTGCCCAGCCTAGTACCCAGTTTTTAAATTAAAATTCAGTTTTTCAGTCACTCTAACCACATTTCCAGTGCTCAATAGCTACAGGTGGCTAGTGGCTACCATACTGGATAGTGCAGGCCTTCAAATGTCCTAGGAGGTAACCTGGCCCCACCATCCTCCTGCCCTCTTTACCTCATATTAATTTTCCTGTCTCATTTCCCATCAGTCTCCTACAGTGGCCTCCTTGCTATTCCTGCTCCTCAACTACACCAGACAGGCTCTCACCTTAGAACCCTGCCCTTGGCTATTCCTCAACCTAGAATGCTACTATCCCAGGTATTCACGTAGTTAACTTCTTTTCCTTCTTCAAGTCTCTGGATAAAATGCTGTCTTCTCAATGAGGCTTACATCGACATTCTATTTCAAATCATAATTGCACCCACTCCCACCTCTTTTCTACAGCATTTGCCACCTTCTAACATCACAGAGTTTTTGTTCTTGTTTTTGTTTTTATTTTCTTTATTTTTATAATTGTGTCTGTTTCTATCCCCTTCTCCACCAAATGTAAGCCTCACAATGGCAAGAATCTTTGTTTCATGGACTGACCCATACCAAACACGAAGAACAGAGTCTGACTCAATAAATATTTGTTGAAATGAATTGAACTTGGAAGAAACAGTGTGTTGACATAAGATAACAATCATGAATGTTCTTAGAGCTAAGAGATGCTACTTCAACCATGAAATAAGGACCAGAAAGATATCTACTCCAACTTCAACACAGTAATAATAAAGACCCCTTTACTCTTCATTTGTTCTGACAGAAAAACTGGGTTATAAATTTAAGGAAATCTCTCAGAAAATAGAGCAAAGCGATGAGAAGGAAAATAGGACAGCTTGATAAAAAATTTAGGTTAACTAGTTCTGGAGGTCTAATATGCACATATTAGGAATTCTAGAGAGATGGAACAGAGGAAACTGAGAAGAAAATTTCCTAAAGGTGAACGACATGAGTCTCCAAAAAATTAAGAGACAGCATCGTAGAGATCTATGGAAGAAATTTCTTCAGGACCCAGAGACAGAAATGTTACCCTTTCACTGACTGCTTCTCTCTTTACCTGAGGAGCGTTAGTCTTATGGGAACTTAAAGCCAAATCTGCAGCCTGCAAACAGGGAAGCAGGCCCAGCTACATTCCAACCACCCATGACAAGAATTGTTTTATCATCCTTTCCTTTATCTTTCACTTGACATTCTTTATCTTTTTTTTTTTTTTTTTTTTTTGAGATGGAGTCTCCCTCTGTTTCCCAGGCTGGAGTGCAGTGGCACAATCTCAGCTTGATTTAAGTGACACTCATGCCTCAGCCTCTTGAGTAGCTGGGATTAGAGATGCCCACCACCATGCCCAGTTAACTTTTTTATTTTTTACTTTTTAGTAGAGATGGGGTTTCGCCATGTCAGTAGGGCTGGTCTCAAACTCCTGACCTCAGGTGATCCACCTGCCTTGGCCTCCCAAAGTGCTGGAATTACAGGCATGAGGTATAACACTTGGCCCATCTTTACCTGTTTTTAAAAAATCAGCTGAATTGTGGGCATTTTTAATAAGCCATTTCAAATTCTTTTTGGAACTGAGTTGGGGTAACCTAATAAATAAAACCCCACTCACTTAAAAAAAAAAAACTGTATGCTAATTAATGTTTGCTTACTAGTAGACAAATATGGGCTGATCTAAATTTTTCTGCATAAAAATGAGGGTTGGACAGAGCACAGCGGCTCATGCCTATAATCCCAGCACTTTGGGAGGCCGAGTTGGGAAGATCACAAGGTCAGGAGTTTGAGGCCAGCCTGACCAACATTGTGAAACCCCATCTCTACTAAAAATACAGAAATTAGCTGGGAATGATGGCACACGCCTGTAATCCCAGCTACTCAGGAGGCTGAAGCAGGAGAATTGCTTGAACCTGGGAGGTGGAGGTTTCAGTGAGCCAAGATTGTGCCACTGCACTCCAGCCTGGGTGACAGAGCGAGACTCAGAAAAAAAAAAATGAGGGTTGATGCAGCCTCTCCATTAAAGCAACATACCAACAGCAGAGAAGGAAGCTCAAAACAGAGATAAATAACAGAGCCACTGATAACATATGAGAATTCAAATGTATTAAAATAAAGCGTAAAAGCAAGTTACACTAAACTCAATATGCTGTCCTAGAACAGAAAAAGGACATTAATGAAAAAACTAGTGCAATTTGAATATGCAGAGTTTAGTTAGCAGTCTTATAGCAAGAGTAATGTCTTAGTTTGACAAATATGCCATAGTTATAAAATGTTAACACCAGGGAAAGCTGGGTGAAGGGTATACAGAAACTCTCTGCATTATCATTCCAACTCTTCTGTAAACCTAACAATATTCCCAAATAAGAAAAAAAAAAAGGTTGCCTCACAAAGGTAGAGGGAGAGGATACATTTGTCAAAGCTCATCCAACTTTACAATCAAACCGTATGCAAATTATACCCCATAAAGTTGATAAGGCCAAAAATAAAAAATAAAAGCTAGTTGAAAAGTACAGAAACATGATGATACCATTTACGTAAACCTCAGTAACACAAAAAACAATCATATATATCGTTTCTACATGAATAGCAGTGATACATGCCAAATTGAGGGCACAAGTCACTTGGCAGGAAGGCGGGAGGAAGACCCAGGACTAGGGCAAGACAAGTGAGGCACTCACCTCCAGTACAAAATGTAAGGGGTTGCCAAGACACTCCGCAATCAAGACAAATTAATGTAACAGTTTAAAAATCAAAATGAAGGCACAAAAGGATCCATGATGAACCAGATATCAGTGCCATGTCAAGCCATACTGGAGACTCAGGCAGGGAGGGGAAGACCTGACGGACGAGACTTTACCTATAATGCCTTCGTTTCTAAAAATAAAGAGAGCTTGGAAACAAAAAGGAACCAAAGGCTGGTGTCTCTATATTATGTTCCGTATTTTGTGTATTTTGTTTCCTAATTTCTGTTGCAACAAAAAATTATGAAAACAATGCAAGGTGCTCCAAGGTTGGTAAATTATTTAAGCGGTTTTATAAAAGTCCACTTACCTGAAAAGTGTGAATAGTTCTTGCCCATGCATGTTTTATGCGACAATATTTCATTAGTTTTCTAAAATCCACAGTTACTTCCAGGCCAGCCATATTATTAATGGTCAAAAATCTTCTCTTTCCAAAAGTTACATCAGTTACATCCTGTCGCCAAAACAAAGAACTATTTTGCATACCTTCAAATATGTCCAATTTCAAATATGTTCAAAAATATTCTATCTTTGAGTCAAACATGAAATCTAAGAATTACCATTAAGAATTTCAAAAGGTTTAAAATTTGCATTTCAGCACAAATATATTCAAAGAATATATCTATACCTAACGATTTTAATAAACACAAATAGAAGTTTTCAGTCCTTGAAACTTATCTTCAGTTTGACTCTATGAAGAACAGTCTGTGTTATTTCTTATCTTGAAGTCTATACATTTCATTTCTTGTATTGACTACGTAAGTCTGAATAGATTCTTTGCAAAGTTTACTTTTCCCCACAGCTATCTACACTATGAGAATAAATACAAGACAACCACTTTTATAGTTTCAGGAAATGATGCTTTTTAAAGTATGTCTCATGTATGCCTTTTTTGTCACTCAAGTACTTCAACTTTATTAAAAATACTTCTTCATAAAATCTTCTAGAAAATAGAAGAAGCCCTTCCCAACCCATTTTATGAGGCCAGCATTATTCTGATACTAAGGCCAGACAAGACATTACTAGAAAACTATCTATATCCTTCATAAACACGGATACAAAAAATCCTAAACAAAAAATCTTAAAACAAGAATGTCAACTCCGGTATCATTAGATCCTGAATCAATTCTAGGACAATAAAATGACCAAACATACTGTTTAACTGGTTAAGCGGTATTATCTTCTGTTTTCACTTACATTTGTTATGAAAAACATTTCTCCGTTGCATAGTCGAACATTACTTTCAAAGTCATGCTTATTTTTAGCAAAATCGTGAAGAGTACCAGAAAAGTCTTCACCACTGGCATCTAGGTCATTATTTTGCTGACTTCCAGAGATATTTTCAGGGAGTAACTCTGAAAGGTATGCATTCCTGGTACAACAAATTTTATCACCAATTCTAAATACAAGTCTATTCTGATGGTCTCTGGGATAGAAAATGATAATATATAATCAAAGTTTGGAAAGTCTCCATTTCATTTGTTTAAACATTAACTCCTACTCAGACTCAATCCAGTTCTCAGAAAAATTTCCATATTTTCTTTATAACACTTTCATTCTCCTATGGGGCAACAAGAAATCAGGCGCCCACAGTTGTTGCCTGATTATTTACACATACTCTCTGCAACACCTCAAATTCAATGACATTCCCCAGCCAAATTTATTCAGGTTAGAAATTTTGGCATAAACGCTGATGTCTCTCTTTCCCCTTATATTCTAAAAGTTACCACAAATCTTGATTTTTTTTTCTTTTAAAATTAATCCTCTCCTCTCCAATCTCTCTTATCACTACCCTATTTGAGGTCTTACAGCACTTATACATATTTCTATTATAATAATTATGACACTATATCATCAGCAGCAGACTGAGGAAGTGGTGGTGACATGCCAGCTACTGTGCTAACTGCTTTAGGTGTGTTATTTCATTTCATTCTTACTAGAACTCTGTAAGGGAAATTCTGTGTACATACCCGCTTTTATAGATGTGGGAAAGGGAAATAACCTGGCCCATCATCACAGTTACTGGGACCCTGAGTATATGGCCTCAAGTCCACGCTTTTTGGCCTCCTGTTGGGCTACCTGATAGATTTTTGTGTATCTTACCTCAGCAGCCAGGCACTCCACCTGTACCTTAAACATATCTAGGATGTCTATACTTAGTAAAAAGCAGGTATTGGTCAATTCAAGAGAAATGAATTAATTTTTCCTATGTCCAAACGCACTGGCTTGTCTACATTAATATGTCTCTGGCAGACATTCGCTAAGTTGCTCTCTGCAGGCACCCTGTCAATAAGGTTCTCAGAAACACTAGACACAAAATTTTTAAAATTTCCCTGAGCTCCCAATGCTCATCCTGGAGAAGCTGAAGGCTGCCAAGCTGGAAACCAAAAAGAAAAGTTCACTAATTTTTCTTCTTATTTGCCTCATTACTAAAACATCAATTCCCAAGGATGTATTCATATATTGTATTTAATTGAAGAGATCGTCATATTTCACAAATGAGAAAAAAACTATTTTTAAATACATAGAAATGTGACAAATGTCAAAGCAAATAAAAGAACAGCAAATTGAAGAAGGACTGTCCTTAAAAGTCTCAGTTCTCTTAGACACTCACTTGATGAGGTGGCCTGTGTAGTGTTTACAACAGCAGTCGTTAATTAGATCACAGTCTTGCCTGAAACACATGAAAATGCAGGGATCACCATAATGGTATGTGCTACATGTTTATTTTTGTTATCAGCAATTATGACATACTAGAGTCTACAAAAAGTTTCCAACACTTTCTTCAGGAAATAGTATTTTTGTAATTTAATCTCAACATAAGCTTTTGTTCCATTCAAAGTCCCTATAAGTTTCTAAATATGGTATTTGGTGGCAAGAGCCCTGTTTAGAAAGTGCCCTCTGCCATGTCTGCCATTGACATACCGCAAACTAAGAAACAGAATTAACAGTAATGAAATATGGGACTCAACCATCCAAATAGGATCTACATTAATTAGTTATGAGATTTAAAAGCTAGATTAAAAACATTAAAATATTATAAATACTTTACCTTCTAAATGCAATAAATTGTGATGTCTGTGCATTTTGTAAGTCATGTTCTTGCAGTAAAGTTTTAACTGCAGAATATAAATCTGACAAAGAGAAAAAACTTAACACAGAAAATCACCAAATTATAACACAGTTTTTATGAAGAAACTAATTTGGAGTTCCTGTCAAGGGGCCTGGGAAAATATCTCACCAAATGGAATACAAGTTTACCATGGGAATGTCAACCTCATTCCTCACATCAGCTAGGGCAATAAGAAAGAGAATAGAAAGGATTCAAAGACAGCACACCCTCAGCAAAGAGGTCAGCTCCTGGCCAGGACAGTTCCTCATTTGTAATACACTCACTGTGTATTTGCTGACAGTTTATGAACACTGAATTTAAGAAATGAACAAGAGTACAAAATGTGTAACAGCATGACTAATGTAAAACTTCCTAAGTCCTTGTGATCATATTAGTAATGAGTTAGAACTTGAGAATCTATAGGCTTTATATGTTATATCACTAACGCAGGACAGCCACATGAGGTAGGTGCTGTTATATTCACAGCTGATATTCAGTTGGCACATACTCGTATAAAACATAGTGATACTTCCGTATTAGCTGGAAAATGGCCACTCCCCTAACGCTCTACTCCCCACCCCAATCATCACTTTCCTTCTCCCCAGACCTCCCCATGATCTAGCAGCTAAAAGGTTAACTCTGGCATAGTGGGGGCATCCATTCCAATGGTGCTCATGCCCTATGGACATCGGGTAGTCTGACTTCTGATGACATCTATATTATGAATGTGAAAACAAAGGCTCACGGAAATATAAGCATTTTCCCATGTGTGTTTCCCTAGTAGCAGATGAATCACAAGGGAATTTGCCCATGCTGCTCTGGGAAGATAAACTTAGCTGCCTACTGAACCCTTCATTTTCCAGATGAAGGGAAGATTACCACTAGAAAACAGCCAAGATTCGGCTCACCCTCAGCCAACCCCTGGCCACCAGAGCAGGAAGCTCCAAAGGTCTCCCAGCATACTGTTCTTTTTTACATGTACAGGACAGCACTGTTCCATACCTTGCTTTTTTCACTTTCTCCACATCTTGCAGATCAATATGTATAATGCATTTTACTGATTCTAAGATATACATTTTTCTCACATTTTAGCATCTCTGAAACTCTAGACCAAATAGGAATCCTGTCTTAGGTCTTAGTACTTTGTAATAATGGGCATAATTTACTTAATAACTTAATTATTAGTGAAAATATACTATATGCTTCTCTAAGGAATATTTATTCAATTTCCTTGAAAAAGACTAATCTTCCAACAGAAGTTTTTAATTAAGTTAGAAAAGCAGCATCAGGTAAGCTCTGCTACTAGTCTAAAATGGACAACTATTTTTAAAAGTACATTCTCATTAATGCAAAGAATGGGTACCAGAAAGAAAACCAACAATATTTTAGGTAGATTTAAGTGAAGTGGCAAAGAAGAGATCTACTAACTCTCTAAGTCTCATTTTCCTCATCGTAAACGGTACCTACTATTAACTAGGCTGTGAGAATAAATATTAGCTATTAATTAACACACATTTCTAAGTACAAAACAATATACAGTTTATAAGCCAATTTATGTAAAGCTGATATAAATAATATATGGCTATAATAAGGTTAAAAGGATAAACACCAAACTTTTACTATGTTGTGACCTTAATGGGATTGTCAGGGGAAGAAGAGAAAGGAAAATTAGGGAACATTAGTTCTTACTTCAAACATTATCGTATCATCGACTTTTTTGTAAAAGGAGTATAAATTGTTTCTCAAACCAATGGTCCCCGCAATCTAAAGGAATCTTACAACAAATTTAATCAATCGCCAGTATTTAGTTAGGTCTACTTAATTCTTTGTACTCTGATGTTTGAAAATATACTTTTAAATTATCTGTTTCCCACACCAGAATGAAAGCACAATAACCTCAGGGATAATTTTTTTTTTTAATTTTTTCCTCTGCTTATTATACCTAGTATATAACAGGAGTTCAATAAATATTTGCTGAATGAAAAAGAAAAAAATAGGTTCTACTATTTAAAACACACACACACATTATAGAACACTATGTATGATCCCATTTATTTAAATACATTGTTGTATCATGTGAATGATCACTAACCCAACAGGCGTGAGATTGGGGACACAAAGGGGAAAAGGTTGACAGATAAAGCTGTATGTCATTAATTTCATATACACAGTGAAAATGGTTAAGTGGGAAGGATATACCTTTTAGAACAGTTGCAACTATAATAAGTCCTCAATAACAATCATTTAAACCTTTACCAATTTTGAAAAAAACATTACATCATTTTTAAAAGGTTCACTAGGTAAGTTTATAATGCAAACAAAGATCAATAGATAGGTTCAACTGATTTAAATAAATTCACTTGCAACAGCTAATTAAATGACATCTACTAGTCACAACAAACTGACATTTATAGAGTGTCTCATAACTGATGAATGTCCTCAACCCTCATAATAGCTCCACAGGCAGTTCCACTATGGTTTCCATTTTATAAAGGGTTAAGTGACACAATACAGGTGATACACATAAGGAGAAGACTTCCTGTCCCACACTCTTTCTCAACCCTGTCATGCTGTCGTCCTAACGCCCATAATTAGAAGCCAAGCTTTTACCCATTTTATAAAGCAGAACTATTAGAAATTAAACTCAGCAACAGTTTGACAGTCATAATTTTTGTTTCAGAAACAAAATACAAATATCTGCTTTTATTAGCATTGAGTATTTGTATTCAAAATAAAAATATTTACTTTTCAAATTGCAAGGAAGAAAAAACTTCATTAATTAAGACTACTTTCTCCTAAATAAACCTGAATTATTGGGGCTTTGCTTTATTTTAAACAAAATCACCTACATCCATTTATTCACTCAACAAAATTTACTGAGCACTTATGTGTTGAGAGCTTACTTCTTTACAAAATTCTAGAGTATTCTGCTTTTGATGATTAGTAAGTTAGTTCATTTATTTACTTTTTGTTTTTCTTGAAACACAGTCTTGCTCTGTTGCCAAGCTGGAGTGCAGTGGCACGATCTCAGCTCACTGCAACCTCCATCTCCTGGGTTCAAGCGTCCCATCTCCTGCCTCAGCCTCCCGAGTAGCTGGGACTACAGGGGCGCACCACCACACCCAGATAATGTTTGTATTGTTAGTAGAGACAGGTTTCACCATATTGGCCAGGATGGTCTCGATCTCTTGACTTCGTGATCCACCCACCTCGGCTCCCAAAGTGCTGGGATTACAGGCGTGAGCCAACACTCCTGGCCTATTTATTTTCAATGTCTTATTTTTTGCTAGCAATATTTCTCTTTACCCATTAAAGAAAATTACAACTAGTCATTTAATAACTATGTTACAAAACTGAAATATTTATACTTAACCCTACATCTCATAGAAGTTTATACTTACAAGAGTGATGATTAGTTTTAGATAACTGAGAACTGGAATCCTCTTCTGGGAGCCTGACAAAAATAAATGTCTTATCTTGAATTGAGGTGGGTAATGTTGGATTATCAGAGATATTTAGTTCTGCATCAAATTTTGGAAATTGACGTCTTGAGATTCTTGAATAAAGATAACACACACAAAGAACATTATCATTCAAAAATGTCTTCATGTATGAACAGAGCTAATGTCCTTATAATAATTAGTATCTATTAATAGATAATAGAGAGAAAAGCTCATCTAGGTATGTATTATAAATAGTAAATAAGTTTTATAATAAAAGACAATAAAGTTAGGGTACTACATGTTAGCAATCAGTCCTTAGCAAACTAAAAGGATCAGAAAAAAAATGAGCAGAGGATTTACTAGGCACCATTCTGAAAACCTGGTCTATTTGTCTCCAGGTCACAACAGAACCATGCAGGAAGGTATTACCCTTATTTCACAGGTAAACAATGTGAGGTTTAGTCAAGTATAGTGGCTTGCCCAAGGCCACAAAAATAGAAAACAGGAGAACTGGGAGGCAAACAGGCCCATTTGACCCCATATCCCTTTCTATTTAAATTAATTTGAACTGGTTCAGGCCTTTCCACATGTTTACACTACATTCCTCTCCTTTCTTCTCTGTATATTCTACATACAGTCCCACTTTCCCAAATGAGCCAAGTATCCACATCTAGTTGCTTCTATTCCTTCCTCATCCTTCTTTTATTCTTACATTTTCCCAGACTAGCAAATCATATCAGAAAACAGAATAAGGTACGGTTATTTGGAAGCAGACTGACTCTCCAAACAGACCTAACAGCAGCCTGGTTATCAGAGGTGGTGGTACCCTACTGTGTCTTCTCCAGCCTTTCCCAGACAAGAGTGGAAAGGAACAGAGAGGGAATGAGGCTGCTCTTGCTGGCAACAGCCCAGATTTAATTGGGACCTTAAAAATCATCATAGATTTCCCATTTTGCTTCTGACCCAAGGCATGTAGCACCTTTTGTTCCCTGGTATATAACAAGGATCCTTCACAGTCAGTAATATTTAAGGATGATGATTAAGACGAAATGATGAAAGGAGCACAGCCAGAACCAAATGATATTGAAAGAGTCACTAAAAAGAATTCCTGAGTTTCAGATAAAATTGAGTTCTGAGAAATCTAATATGCTAGAGTCCTCCAAGTTTCTTGGACTTTAAAATGATCAATCATCTACCAAAAATGGGGTGGCCTTTAGAAAGATTACAGGGAAAGAATATTCCACATCCCACTCCATTAGTTTTCTTAATGTCTTAATATGAACCCACACTGTCTATCCTATTCCTGTCAATTCCTCCTCTACTCCCACCATTCTATGCAAGGTAGGCAGAAGTTTAGAGAAAGTAGGTTTTGAATGTTCTAGTTCAAGCCTGTCTGGCCCACAGGCCACATGTGGCTTTAAATGCAGCCCAACACAAATTCATAAACTTTCTTAAAACATTATGAGATTTTTTATTATATATATATATATATATATATGTATATATAATTTTTTTTTTTTTTTTTTTTTTTTGAGACAGAGTGTCACTCTGGCTGGAGTGCAATGGTGTGATCTCAGCTCACTGCAACCTCCGCCTCCCAGGTTCAAGTGATTCTCCCGCCTCAGCCTCTGGAGTAGCTGGGATTACAGGTGCCCACCACCATGCCTGGGTAATTTTGGTATCTTTAGTAGAAAGGGGGCTTCACCAGGTTGGCCAGGCTGGTCTCGAACTCCTGACCTCAGGTGATCCATCCGCCTCAGCCTCCCAAAGTGCAGGGATTACAGACATGACCCACTGCACCCAGCCTACGATTTTTTTTTTTTTTAAGCTTAACAGCTATTGTTAATGTTAGTGTATTTTATGCGTGGCCTAAGACAATTCTTCTTCCAATGTGGCCCAGAGATGCCAAAAGATTGGAAACCCTTCTTCTAGTTTCTGCTACATCCAACTGAAGAATGTTCAAGCAACAAAACATTTCGTAAAAAAAGGGTAAAAACCAGAGATATATTTTGATCCAATGACTAACACAGACTCAGTATTCAAATGTCCCATTATATCTAGAGATTTTAACACAGTCACATGAATGAACGACAGGGATATGTTTTAAGAAATGCATCATTAGGCAACGTTCATCATTTTGTGAACACTAGAGAGTGCACTTATACAAACCTAGGTGGTACAGCCCACTACACATCTAGGCTATATGGTACAGCCTATTGCTCCTAGGCTACAAACCCGCACAGCATGTTTTACTGTACTGAACGCATAGGCAATTATGATACAATGGTAAGTATGTGTATATGTAAACATATTTAAACAGAAAAAAGGTACAGTAAAATTACAGTTTTATAATCCTATGGGACTACCATCACAGATGCAGTCTGCTGCTGACCAAACATTATGTGGTACATGACTGTATTAAAATAAATAGCATGAAATAATAATGATTGTGATTTTTCACATGTATGGACTATGGAGAAACCAAATGTCTTAGCTGACAGAGGATAACTACAAAGACTTATACAAAGACAAAAGGAAAAGAAGGGTTCTTTTCTATTTAAGGGAAGTAATATACCATCGGTGCCTCCACGATTCATCTAGGAGTGAAATACCACATTCAACTATTTTGCTTCCAGCTTTCTCCCACAAAAATTAAGAGGTATTTCTTCCCCAATTCTCCCTTGAATGTGAATGAAGTTATTTCCAAATCTCCATTCCCCTTGGGCTTATTCTAGTCCTTAATCTTAATACAATTTTAATTCATATACACCCTTTTGAAATCAGGAAACCTCATCCATTTTTAAATTTCAATAATAACCTGTGCTGGACCAGTAATGAAAAACATTAACTGTGCTTTTCTAACTGTGAGGCAAAGGTTTATAGTTGAAGGATGGAAGAGTTTTGCTAAAAGAGATAGTAAATGTATTGTACTAAATCATTCTAATTCAAAAGCCATTTTTCTTTTATTTCTAATACAACAGACAGAAAATGCAAACTCTTAGTAATATTATACCTTGTAGCATTGTCCACAATTAGCTGAGATTCTGCTCTATGGTTTGTCTTTAGCTCAATAGCACAATTTCTTGACTGAAGAGTCTCAAAAAGATCTTTCAGCAAGTTACCAGGTTCAATACTGGGTAACTGTCTAATATCACCTAAAAGATTTAAAAAAAAAAAAAAAAAATAGATACATGTTTTAGGAAACCAGGATGCTAAAACTTAGAAATTATTTTTATTTCTCTCCACTGATAAATATCATAAAGACTCACCCTGAGAAAAAATATCCCCAAGATTGTTTAAAATTATTTAAGAGTTTAAAGTGAAATATTTAACAAAAAATAACATTTAAATTAAACAGTATAAGATATTAAAATAGTAATAACACAATAAGGTAACAAAATCTAAATTGAACATCTTTCATACCTATAACCACAGGGAAACTGGGTATAGGCATATGTTTTAGTCAACATATTAGGACAAGAAAATAGACCTTAGACATTTGTAGTTAGTTCCTTTTTCAATCACCTTCATTGTCTTATTGAACATGGAAGAATCTATGGCCTCAAATACATAAAATAAATGTACAAAATATAAAACAAACAAACTAAATGCATTTGGTAACAGATACATTTCACTACTCTAATGATGATGTTCTGCTCTATTAAAAATCTTTTTTGCTTGCACCAAATAAGCCCTAAATATAAGAAAAACATGTACTGGGGGAAGCAGAGAGAAGGCTTAAGCCATTAATAGAACCAACTGCTTAAAAGACATCCTCCAATACCTAAAAAAATAGTTTTTATATACAACATGATTCTCCAATTATGATTTTATTTTTTTCACCATTAAATCATATGATCTACCAAGCACGACTACCCAATAGAATCTAACTGAATCTTATCAGAATTGGAAGGGCCTAAGAGGCTGGTGAGGTCTAATTTGAGTTATTAGCTTAGAATCATAAAATTACTTTTAAGCGGTCTATAATTCAAATTTTTTATTATTTCCAAATGATCCCCATCCTAATTTACTCTGAATCTGTGGCACTTTTACTGTTTTAGCAGCCGTCATTTAGGTGATTAGCAGTAACCCATCACAACCCTATTTCATTCACATCCCAGCCTGCCATTATCCTGGCTAAAACAAAACAACCCAAGCTGATCAGGAGAGTGGTCAGACTTAACTTAGTGTAGCTTTGGTATCAGTTCTGAAAAACGGTTTTCACCTTTAGGAAATGGTGTGGTAAGATGGTGTAAACAACCAACTAACCACAGTATTCTGAAATAAACACCAGAATTCTAACAATATTTTAACTTACCAAGGATAATAAGTTTAGAAAGTTTGGAGTGCTCACACAATAAATTTAAGACCGATTTGAAGATTCCTACAGATACCAAACTCCCTTCATCCACAACCAGAACTCTAACTGAAGAAAATTTCCATGGTTTGTCTGTGGTCATCATTTTTTTGTTCCATAAATAGAAGCTATAATTGACCTACAAGCAAAGTATGGCATTTCCAAAGTCAGGTTATAAAATTTATAAAACCAAAAATTAATAGCAAGTTATTTTAAGGCAAAACTCTTAAATTGGCAGGGGTAGGTGGGAAGTAGAAAAATACAAAAGTTATACAAATAAACATACAGAAAAGACAGACCAAGTAAATCTAAAAACAAAAAAAGGGTCAAATTGTTCCAAAATCTCAACACTTCCCTCATCGTTTTTAAACACAGAAAGCTCCCTATTTTTTTCTATTGCCAAATAAACCTTCCCATGGCCATCTGAGATATCCCACTGAAGCCCTCCCGTTCTCCCAACCACATTTCTCCATTCTGAAATAAAAGCAGTGATTTCTCAACCTAATTATGAAAATACTACTTTTTCTTTCAAGTATTCTAAACTTTCTCACCTCAACTTCTTTAAAAACTACCACCACCCCCCCACAACAAATAAACAACAAAATTATTTATTACAAATATAATACTACTTATTTTTAAATATAGATGAGAAAAAAATTGGTTGTAAAATTCCAACCAGAGAACAGTCAATATTTTAGTGTATAACATTCTACAAATGTTTCTATGTCATCAGTATGAGCACTTATAGGTTGAGTATCTTTGATCTGCAAATTCAAAATCCAAAGTGCTCCAAAATTCTTTTTTGAGCACTGACATAATGCTCAAAGGAAACGCTCATTGGAGCATTTCAGATTTTCAATCTGTATTATGTACAGATTTTCTAAATGGTATATCACATCTTCATCTAATTTTTCTACTGAATCTAGATTCAACATGTCTATTAAGTAAAGCCTTCATATTTCCTACCCAAATGCATCAATTTCCTTCAACAAAACCCCCTATGGTCGCAGTGGCCATGTCTCACAACATTCTAAGTTAGCCATTTCTTTTCTCTTATTTAACATGGTCAATTAATTATCTTAGAAATGCTGCCATGTTCCACTGTATTTCTAGTGCCGCTAGCTCAATACAGGCTCCATCTATCAGCACCTTGATGACTCCAATAGCTTTGCAGCCAGGTTCCCCTACACACAACCCCAGGATGGGACTGTCCAATAAAATACAGGAAATCCAGTTAAATTTGAACTTCAAACACACAAAAAATGACGTTTTAATATGTGCAAGTCAATGAATCATTTGATACATACTTATACTAAAAAAATTATTCATATTTTTATCTGCCAAATCTGGCAACTCTAGTCAAAGGATGAATAAATGAAACTCCAGTGCTCTTTCTATGTTCTTGCACCCTCTCCTAAGCCTAAACATGGCTTCAGAAATGTTCTCTCAGCATCTCAGGTAGATACTAAGAAACTACCAATTAATCAGTTAACCATAGGATCAAACTTAGCAATGACCCCTTTTGGTGTCCCCTTCAAATTCAGTCCTTCAGACTAATCAGACATGAAAACATAGTATAAAAAAAAAAATCATAAACTCATCAGAAGTCTCTTCTGATAAGCTACACTGAACAACTCTAGGTCTCTATTCATTCATGTGATAAATAAAGATAATAGGCAAGATATGTTAAGTGGCTCATGGCTCTATGATTCTATATGATCTTCCTTAAAACTGCTTTATTTCAATCTCTTGCTTAGGAACCTAAATGGCCTCCTAGTAGATCAAGTTCGAGTTTCACTGTTAGGTGTGCAATATCTGTAACAATGGCACCATGGAAAGAACAACAGGCTGGAAGGCCAGAAATCTCCCTTTCAAGTCCTAGTTCTACACCTAACCAAGTTCTTGGGCAAGATGTTTAACATCCTCAAACTTCAACTAGCTCTTCTGTAAATGTGGAGATAATATCACTTTATCAAGTATGTAATGAGATAAGTCAAAATACTTTACTAACTTTAAAGCTGGAATTCATTGTCTAACCCAAGTTTAATTTCCACCATTCTGTCAGATACAGGCTTCATTCCAATCAATGAAATCACCTCAAAACCCTCTATACACACTATGATCATATTCCTCATTGCCTTTGCAAAGGTCTTTCCCCTAAGTCCAACATCCTTTTCCTCACCTGAGCTTCCATGTTCCTTGGAGTCCAATTAAATGATTACCTTCTTCCGAAATCTTCCAACTACCAAGTTCCTTTAGCTATAAAATGCCAGGTCAGGGCTAGGGCTAGAGGAACCTCTCCAACTCTTTACAATGTTAAACTCCATGATTCTTAATTATAGCCAATACTATTTTCTTCAAGAATGTTAATTTATTTGTAATTTTTACTATGTGACTACTGTTTGTCAGGCACTGTTCTAGGTGGAAGAAATAAAGAATTATACCAGATGAGCAAAGTCCTCACTTTCATCCTACAGAATATAAGCCTTTCACTTCCATTTCCAATGCTATTCAAAATATGGTCTGTGGACTGTGACATGTTTGTAACCAGTCCCCATGAAAAACAGATACTGTATCAGCATCTAAACTACTACATCATTACGGCTACACTTTAGAGCAACTGATTTTATTTGGTTTTTAGAGAGGGTCTTACTGTGTCACCCAGGCTAGAGTACAGTGGTGTAAACACGGCTCACTGCAGCCTCGACTTCACAGCCTCAAGCAGTCCTCTCACTTCAGCCTCCCAAGTCGCTGGAACTACAGGTGCATGCCACCATGCTAGCTAATTTTTTAATTTTTTGTAGAGATGGGGGTCTCACTATGTTGCCTGGGCAGGTCTCAAACTCCTGAGCTCAAGTGATCCTCCCACCTTAGCCTCCCAAAGTGCTGGGATTAAAGGGAGGAACCACTGTGCTGGACCTGATAGCTTTTTCATAAGACTTTCTCAATGAAGGAAGCAGTGCACTGATTTACTTCTACCATTAGCTCCTTTCTCATGCAAACTGGTAACAATTTACAGACTGGTTGCTTTAAAAAGCATTGATCTAAATGACTAGTTACCGCAAGGCAAGGCAGGGACCCAGAAGGCATTCAAAATATTCCTACTGATTGCTTTAAGAAATAAGTTTATCTTCAAGGCAAATGTTTAACTACAGATAAAATATCAAAGGTTTTACCTGACACAGTGTGTAGGCATGAAGACCAGTTTTCTGTCTTAGTAAGCCAGCTGCTTTCCCTGTAGGCGCTGTGAGCAAAACTTGTATATCCTTGCTCGCCTCTAGTTGACTTTGCTCAGTAAAGGTAATCCATTCTTCTGAAGAACTCTGGTCTTGTTCAAAATCTTCACAAGCTTTTTTTACTTCTCTTTCTTCCAACTGCTCTATATGCTTAAAAAGATGGCTAACGATTGTGGTCTTCCCACATCCACCTTTCCCACTTATGACTGTCACAGGATTGGAGCAAATCATTTCCAAAGCAGCCAACTGATCCTGATCCAGCTGAACTTCAATCTGATCCTGATCAAGCTGAACTTCACTTATTTCTGCATTAATTTCACTTTCACCATTAGTCCAAATATGGTCATCACTGTCCTGTGTGTCCACAGGATTTTCTAATCTTGCTTCATCAGGTTTGCTCTCATTCAATGCATCATCCCTTCTTGAATTCTCAGGTTCTGCGGTGTGAATAGAGGCAAGCACCTTTTTGACATCAACACATAAATGCCATGGAGGGCTCTTCATCAGGTCACAAATTGAAAAGGCAATGGCTCTTTCAGCCTGGTAAAGGTCGTAAGGGAAGACACAGGCCTTCTCATATGTCACCACACCAATATCCTTCAAAAACTTCAGAGATTCCGAAGCATCAGGAAATGACATGTGATCTGACAATTCCAAAGTTAAGTCATTTACTTCAACATATGTGTGCCCATGTTCTCTACACATCTGCTTCAGTTTTGAATATATTATTAGTGCGTTCTTCTCCAAATCAGCCATCAACTGGAGAAGAGGCTGGCACTGACAAAACGCTATCCAACTTGCCTCACATCGCAACAGGTTCCATTCTCTGTAGGTTATCTTTAAGAAAAAAAGTTCAGGTTGGTTTATAAACATTGTAAGACCTTATGAATATGTTCTTTATTAATAATTTTTGAAGCCCCAGAAAACATGAACTTCAACTAAATTTGGAGAAAAACACTAGAGAACATCACTAATTTTTTTAATTGGCTGTACTGTAGTTAGAGATCTATATAATTTTCTAATTAAAATTATATTGTATCAAACTAACACAAATAGTTTTAAAAGTGAAATACCATAAGGCTTATCACAAAAAAATATGAATCCTTTCCTTATTCTTTCTCATGCCTTCTTAAGGAAACATCTCCAACACTTTATTTCTTCCAGAATTTACCTCCATAGTTCTAAGTACTATAGATATTTTTCCTTGATTTTTAAAAGATTTTAGATATTTATTATTAACTCCTTACTATGGCAAGTCTGTCTCTATGGAAGTTCGTTCTATTTTATACCATTACCTCCACAGGTGCTTCTTTAGTTCCTATATTTGAAAAATGTTGTAGTATACATTTTGATAAATTTTGGTCAAATAGATATTTATTATGCTTATGCAAATAGGATTCACAGTTGAGTGACAGATATACTCTGTTAAGTTTTTTGTTGAACTCAGTGTGTATCATGAAGTTAACATCTGTCTCATTTTCTTGGCTTGTTTAGCTTTCTATGTATACCTATCAACAACTCTGCCTAAATTCTACGGAAGAGATACAGAACTCCCTTCACCATAATCCACTGAGCACATCATCTATCGGCCCCATTTTTTCTTAATGGACTCATCACTCCTGAGCTATCCATACCTTTTATGGGCTGAACCGTGTCCCCGCAAAATTCATATTTTGATGTCCTAACCCACAGTATCCTCAGAATGTGACTATATTTGGAAACAGGGTTTCAAAGAAGTAATTAAGGTTAAATGAGACCATGCACCTCATTAATGAGGTCCTCCGGATGGGCCCTACTCTAATATGACTTGCATTCTTACAAGAAGAAGAGATTAGGACACAGACTGGCAAAGAAGGAAGACCACGTGAAGACACAGACAATGACCATCTAAAAGCCAAGGAGAGAAGCCTCAGAAGAAATCAATCCTGTCTACACCTTGACTCAGACTTGTAGCCTCCAGAACTGTAAGACAATAAATTTCTGTGGTGTAATCTATCCAGTCAGCAGTACTTGGTCTGGAAGCCCCAGCAAACTAATACAATACTTGGATAGTAGTTTATGGGCTGAATGGTGGGACGTCGATCCTCCTTTTCCCACGAGTCCCAGAATGCTGCAGCCAGGCTTAAACTCTCCATGTAGATTCTTCTCTGAGAAGAGTGACTAAACAGGAGAAAACACTTCCAGATCCTGACACAACGGGGAGGGAGGAGAGTATTCCCTAATGAAAAACCTTAGTCACCACCAGATAATCTCTGCCTTATCCTCTCCTATTATCCCCAAGCCTAGAAACTTTCAGTTGAATGGCATCAGGCAAGAAGAACCTCTATCCTCTTGCTGGGGTGGGAAGCAGTAATCACTTAATGCCCACATTGGGGAGAGAATCTGGGACTTCAACAGCTTCTTAAACAGGGGTTCACGAGAGAGATCCAAGATGGCTGATTACTAGCAGCTCAGGGTTGTGAAAGCGCAGAGAATGAGAGGACGCCACACTTTCAGACAAATTTTTGTTGCTCACGGACCTGGAGATTCCCAGCGGAGGAGCCTCACGGGTCACCAGCATGACTCCTGTGGCCGGCGCGGCGGTTCTTGGTGCAGAGTAAACGGGACTGGGTCCCCTTTTGGTCGACATTTGGAGCTCCGTGAAGGCAGAGTCGCCCATTCAGCTGATTGAAAAAGGGATTCAAGAGGGAAGCCAGACCAGAGATTCCCGGGCAGAAAAGCACCACGAATCTTAACGCCGCTGTTTTGGCCGGCGCAGTGGGTTGCTCAGATTCCGGCGCTGGGAAACAACAAGTTGGACGTCCACTGAGAGACCTAATTTGAAAGTCGGTAATTACAAAGACGACAGGTGGATAAATTTACAATGATGGGAAGAAACCAGCGTAAAAAGGCTGAGAATACTCAAAATCAGAATGCCTCTCCCTCTACAGGGGATCACAGTTCCTCATCAAGGGAACAAGGCCTGATGGAGAACGAGTGCATTCCATTAACAGATTTAGGCTTCAGAAGGTGGATAATAAGAAACTTCTGTGAGTTTAAAGAACACGTTCTAGTCCAATGTAAAGAAACTAAGAAACTTGAAAAAAGGTTTGACGAAATCCTAACGAGAATAGACAATCTAGAGAGGAATATAAGTGAATTAATGGAACTAAAGAATACAATACGAGAACTCCACGAAGTATGCACAGGTTTTAACAGTCGACTTGATCAAGCAGAAGAAAGGATATCAGAGGTCGAAGACCAACTTAATGAAATGAAACGAGAAGACAAGATTAGAGACGAAAGAGTAAAAAGGAATGAGCAAAGTCTCCAAGAAATATGGGACCATGTGAAAAGACCTAATTTACATTTGATAGGTGTACCTGAATGTCATGAAGACAATGAATCCAAGCTGGAAAATATTCTTTAAGATATTATTCAGGAAAACTTTCCTAACCTAGTAAGGCAGGAAAATCCTCAACTTCAGGTAATACAAAGAACACCACAAAGATATTCCTCAAGTAGAGCAACCCCAAGACACATAATCGTTATATTCACCAGGGTTGAAATAAAGGAGAAAATTCTAAGGGCGGCCAGAGAGAAAGGTCAGGTTACTCATAAAGGGAAGCCTATCAGACTCACAGCAGATCTCTCAGCTGAAACCCTACAAACTAGAAGAGCGTGGGGGTCAATATTCAATATCCTCAAAGAAAAGAATTTTCAACCCAGAATCTCCCATCCAGCCAAATTAAGCTTCATAAATGAAGGAAAAATAAAATTTTTCGCGAACAAGCAAGCACTCAGAGATTTCGTCACCACCAGGCCTGCTTTACAAGAGCTTCTGAAAGAAGCACTATACACAGAAAGGAACAACCAGTATCAGTCATCCCAAAGACTTACCAAAAGGTAAAGAGTATCTCCATAATGAAGAATCTATATCAACTAATGGGCAAAATAGCCAGCTAGCATTAAACGACAATATTAAACTCACAAATATCAATATTAATCCTAAATTTAAATAGATTAAATGTCCCAATCAAAGACACAGACAGGCAATTGAATAAAAAGTCAAAATCCATCGGTTCGCTGTATCCAGATCCATCTCATAAGCAAGGACACACAAAGACTCAAAACAAAGGGTTGGTGGAAGACTTACCAATCAAATGGAGAGAAAAAAAAAAAAGAAAACAGGAGTTGTAACTTTTGTCTCTGACAAAATAGACTTTAATAGTAGCAAAGACTAAAAGAAATAAATAAGGACATTACATAATGGTAAATGGATCAATGCAACAACAGGAGTCAATGATCATAAATATATATGCACCCAATATAGGAACACCCAGATACATATGGCAAGTTCTTAATGACTTATAAAGAGACTTGGACTCTCACACAATAATAGCAGGACACTTTAACACCACATTGTTAATATTCGACAGATCAACGAGACAGAAAATTAACAGGGACATCTATGATTTGAACTCAGACCTGGAACAAGTAAACTCAGTGAATATTTATAGAATTCTTCACCCCAGGTCCACAGAACATACATTTTTCTCAGTATCATATTACACCTATTTTGAAAGTGACCAAATAATTGGAAGTAAATCACTCTTCAGCATTTGCATAGCATTTCACAGACTTAAATGAAATATTGGTTGGCTGTTTGTTATTTTCTTCCCCTATTCCTTCCTGTCTCCGCTGTTAAGCACAATTATCAGCATAAAAGAGATTTTCAATACCTATTTTTAGATTGCATTCCAGCCTGGGCAATAGAGCAAGACTCCTATTCTCTCTCCACCTTCTCTTTCTCTTTCAAAAAAAGGAAAAAAAAAAAAAAAACAGGGGTTCACTTAAACTAGGAGGCAGAAAATATAGCAGACAACATGTAATGCTTAAAAAAATTTTTTTTCTTTTTAAGAGGAGGTGGAAAGCCACGTGCAGCAGCTCATGCCTATAATCCCAGCACTCTGGAGGTCAAGGTGGGCAGATCACTTGAGGACAGCAGTTCAAGACCAGCCTGGCCAACATGGTGAAACCCTGTCTCTACTAAAAATACAAAAATTAGCTGTGTGGTGGCACATGCCTGTAATCCCAGCTATTAGAGCACTGAGGCCAGAGAATCACTTGAACCTGGGAGGCAGAGACTGCAGTGAGCAGATCCTGCCACTGCACTCCAGCCTGACTGGGGAAAAAAAAAAAAAAAAGAGGTGGGAGAGAGAGCTGGATAGTGGCAGGGAGAGAAGAAGGCTGACCCTAGAATCTTGATAGACATAGCCTCAAACTAACTCATTTGACCACAAAGAAAAACAAAAGTTTCTGTGCTTCACCAGGAATATGCTGAGCCTAGTAAGGGCGAGAGTAAGTGCCTGATCACATCTCTGTTCTACACTGCCAAGGTCTCAACAAATGTTTAATCAATTACATTAGCCTAACACAACATGTATTGCTAATAATAAAATGTTATATAATTTATTCTTGAAATGTGAACAGGCTCAAAAGATCTCTAAAGATCTAAAAAAATTATCTTCCCTTCTTAGTAAGTGTATAAACAACACTGGACTTTGCAAGGTTTTTATTTTTTCTTTAAATCAAAAAGGCAAACTATTATTATCTCACATATCATTGCTCTTCCACTCTTTTCCACTGAATAAATATATATAATAATCTCATGTTTCAGAATCTTATCTTTAAAAACATACTGAATTTATAGACATTTTATCTAAGGGAAAAAAGTCCTTATTCCTGTATTTCTCAAACTCAGCATCTGCAAACATTCTTGAGGTTCCAAGAATTTTCTCAGAGTTTCTCAATTGTATTTTTCTTTGGAAAACCACCTTATAACCAAGAACTACCAAGATTAAGTACCACACTTGGTGTCCAATACCACTGGAGCCTCAGGGTGTCACTTTACTACTCATAGTCTCTAATAATAAGAGCAGAAGTGGATTCATTTGTAAATGATGTTATTGTATACAATAAAAATCAAATGACATCCTGATATACCAGATGAATAATCAAAGTTGTCAATAGTTCAAACCTGACGTGGGAAGTTGAGATGCACAGCAGAATGGACTTGCCAAACTAGTAAGAGCTTTTGACTTCAATGAGATCTATATTCAAGTTGCAAATGACAATTTAGTTACAGGACATTTGTCACATTAAATTACATTTGTTTTGTTTTTCATTTACAAATTTATGCAACTTTATAAGTTGCATGACAACTTATAAAATGTTCTTATGCTATAGCTTCTTATGCTACAGCCATAAGCAGTTTATGTACAGTTGCAACATTTGAATAAAAATAAATCAATATTGGGGTCCACACAAATTTTTTTCCTTTGAAAGAAAAAACTGTCAAATTTGAAACCTTGCCTTACACAAGATTACTATATGCTGAACAAATGTTTTACTTACTTTACTAAATCCAAGTTTCCATGGATGCGTACCTAAAACCTCTTCTATCTCTTTCAACACCTGTTTAGAACCTGAACTTATGAGCCATTTAAAGTGACGAGGCAGAAGAACTGGTAGGAATTCCATTATTTTCGGAAACTGCAAAGCTGTCATTACATTTTTAAACGGAACTACAAGATACCAGAAAAGAACAAAATAAAACACAAATGAACCCGAAGAATGACTGATTTGAAGTACTTTCTCATTTTGCACAACCAATTCAAGAAATCTAAGTCAAAGACAGATTAGTATATTTGCTTTAACCAGTAAGAAAATTTGATCATGACAATTGCTTTTGTACTGAGATGGTTTCATTGTGTTTAACACCAAACTTCATGTTCATTAAATGCTTAAATAATGACTTCTTAGCCTTTTGTTTCCTACTGTCTGCACTATAATCAGAACAAAAATTCTTACTCAATTATAAAGATAAATTTAAAGCTAGGGATATAAAATAAACAATTTACATAGTAACCTTTATAATCATTTTCTATAGTCATAATCTTTTGTCATTGAAGTCATTCACTGAGGTACCATGAAATTTATTTGATACGATTAGGAAATGAAATATTCCGTATATATGAATGCCCAGATAACAAAGCATATTAAAAAATAATTTGAAAACCATTTTGGACTGAAGTAGTTCCTAAATGTATTACTCATATCCTTGTTGTTCTCCTCTGCCTCCTTAGAGTAATTTACAACCGAATTTTTTTTTTAAACTGAGACAGGGTCTCACTCTTTCACTCAGGCTGGAGTATAGTACATAGCTCACTGCAGTCTCCATTTTCTGGGTTCAAGTGATCCTCCTGCCTCAGCCTCCCAAGTAGCTGGGTCTACAGGTATGTGTCACCACAACTGACTAATGTATTTTTAAATTTTTAGTAGAGACAAAGTCTCACTATATTGCTTAGGCTAGTCTCAATCGCCTAAGCTCAAGTCATCCTCCTGTCCAAAGTGCTGGGATTACAGGCATGAGCAGCCACCACGGCCAGCAACTGAATCTTTTTTTATTAATGATTCAAGGTAATCTCTCTGAGTACAAAAGTTAGGGAGATGAAATCATGATTTTAGAGGCGGAAAGGAACTCGAAGGATTTTAAACATCAGCTTATATAATCCCTTCATGTTACACATGAGAAATCTGAAATGCCAATGGCATACTCCAAAAGCAACATAAATACATTTTCATCAAATAGATTTTTAAAAAGAATACTATTCTGGTGGTAATATTTTAAACACAGTAGTCATTAATCTGTCAATTACACTGAAACTTAACGATAAAAATCACACTTACCTGTGTTTTCCATAGGAAGACTCATCTCATTGTCTGGGAACAACTCTTCCTGGCCATTCTGTGCAGGCTGCTTTTGATCTTTCCTTATAGTTTCCTTTTGGAAAGTTCTTAGTGTTTCCCTAAGATTTTCAAAGTTTAGGTTTCTGTAGTTTGATACTTCATTTACCCATGTTAAAAACTGATTAATATAATCACTGGGGACATTACACTCTTTAAGAAAGAGGGCACAGATATGTTCTTGATTTGGTGGTGACATATCAGACTGCAAAAAGTAAGATGGAAATCCTTGAACTTGATAATGATAGCTCCTTGATCCCACCACAGGCTTTACTTGCACCTTCACTCTCCACCAAGCACCTGTTATAGGAAAACGTCCAAACACTTTACATTTCTCTTGTGTGTTTTCATCAGGAATTAAAACTGAAAAAAAAAAAAAAAAAAAAAAAAAAACCATAAAAGTTAACTCTGGAAATTATTTTAAAACTGTTTCCTCCATGTTTTATCAAACTTGCCACTGTCTTTTATCTCCCTACAGCACTCTAGAAAGATGTCTGTTAGGGTGCCGATAACACTGCACTCCGCCTATCTCTTTTTCTGTTTCCCTCTACTACACTATAAATACTGGAAAAATACAGGACAGTTTCATTTGTCTTTGTATTCCAAAAGGCAACCACAGTACACAGCAGGTGTCCGCTGTTCCTCTTCCAAAACCAGTTCCCTCTCTGCTACTCTGACTTTAGCCAATACTGGCCTTCATGCAGTTACTTTCAAATGCCATGGCCCTTCACCCAAGTTATTCCACCTGCCTTAAATGATATCCCCCTTACTGTTTACATTTACTACAGCCCTCAGCTTAACTGTCACTTACTTAGAAAAGTCTTCAATGAATCTCATGTATAAAACCTCTCAAAGCACTATTTAGCATACCTTCTAAGCATTTAGTAACATTATAGTTACTTCTGTAATTATTTAAAGAATGTCTGTTTAACACACTAGCGGGTAAGCTTCATTAAGACTGCAACCTTGTTATTTTATTTCTCTGGGTTTTCCAAGCACCAAATATGTTAACCAGTTGATGAATGACTAAGCTCTCCACAAATACTTGAAAATTTTCTAAACAAAAAAAAAAAGAAAAAAAAGAAAAAAAAAAAAAATCCAAGCACCTAAAGAGATGCATTTAAAGGAAAAAATTAAAAAAATTTTCTGCCTAAATCTGTACTGTCTACCGACATGTGTCTATTTAAATTAAAACGTAATAAAACTCAAAATTTGTCTCTTCAGTTACATCAGTCGTATTTAAGTTTTAAACAGCTACATATGGCAAGTGGCTATTGTACAAGACAATGCAGATATAAAACACTGCCATCATCATGGAAAGTTCTACTAAACAGCACTGGTCGGCACGTTAAAATATTTTAAGTATCAGTCACAAAGTACACATAACACGTATAACTTATAGCACAGGAAACTACTTTTTCAAGGTTAACCACAACCACAAGGTTATTAACACCTGTTAATAATTATCTGTGCAATCATCTGTGCACTGAGGTGTTCTTTGTTTTGTTTCTCTTTTTCTTTCTTTTTTTTCCTTTTCTTTTTTTGAGACGGAGTTTCATTCTTGCTGCCCAGGCTGAAGTGCAATGGCGCCATCTCGGCTCACAGCAACCTCCGCCTCCTGGGCTCAGGCAATTCTGCCTCGGCCTCCCAAGTAGCTGGGATTACAGGGGTGCGACACCAGGCCCGGCCCGTTTTGTTTTTCCAAGAAGCTGAAAAAGAACCACGTATTTGACTCCAGGAAATACAGAATAGTTACAAGTTCTGATTCTATTGAACTTGAGGATAAGTGGTTAGAAAGAAAAATAAAAGTTCTGATTCTGGGTGGAAATAGAGGCTCAACATCCACCGTTTCCTCAAATGTAAAACTACCTCGAAGAACGGCGACTATTAAAATGAGATAATTAATACAGGACAAGTGAAAGCTTAACACACAGTGTGTGTCCAGTTAGTCACTGCTATTATTACAATTATAATTTTACCCTAAGAAGGATGAAGCAGCTAGGGCATTGAGAAGCTAAGTCTGTTAGCAGCGACTGGTGCCTTGCTCAGGGCAAAGCCAGAATGGGAAACGCTTCGTTGGACCCTCCAGCCCTATCCCCGGGGCAGGGGGCTTCCTCACCACGGATGCACCCGGGGAGGCTGCCAGCCTTTACGCCCCCACTGCAGAGCTCCTCGGCGTCCACGAACACCGAGTCTTCATCCTCCTCCACGTCGTCCCTTAGGTAGTCGTCGTCCTCCTCCTCCACCAGGTCCTTGGGTGGGAGCAGAGGTCCCTGCAGTTGGCGCAGGTACTGACTCGGCCTGGCCATACTTCTCCCGAACTCAACTCAAACAACTGGGGAAAACCCTGGCTAAGTGCACCGCCATGACCTCCCAATCAGTTCCACGCCGTGAAGGCCTTCAACTTCCGGAACGCCAAGGCGGCCGCCGGCGTGCGCGGGGCGGGGCGGGGCGGCAGCGAAGCTCCGCCTCACGTTTTCAGGAATTGCAGGAGGAGGGTGTGTGGAAGGGGCGGCGCCAGACGGGTTAGGCGCGGGAAAGGGAGAGTGCGGGGCGGGGAGATGGGCGGGGCTGCTGCTCCTCTGGGATTCCTGGTGCCTGGCGGTGAAGATCAGGGAGGTGCTGGGACGACATCTGCGCTGGGGAGTGACAGGCGTGGCACCTGCAGAACCGCCAATGCAAGGCATCTCCTGCGAAGAGAGAACGCGGAGAAAGTCCACTTCTGCTGAGCCTCAAGGACTCGGAATAGCAAGCCCTACCCCAACCTCCCCAAAACGAAAGTACTGAATAGCAGTTGTCCTTCTGGAGTCGGATCGAGGGCAGGGACCCAGGATTCTGTCTTTTTAATGTACGTTCCAGGCTGTCCATTTTGATGCTCAGCTAGATTTGGACACCACTGGATTACATGACATTCAAAGTTCTTTTCATCCTTTCCTCTGTGAGTGCACCCTGGTCTCCCAAACTTATTTAAGCTGGGCTGCTACCTGCGGCTGACACTGGAGAAAAAGTATTTCTCTGCAACCCAGAGGATAGACAAGAATAGGGGAAGGGTACTAGAAGAGAAAAGAACGTGATGTTAAAAACTGTTCTGGAGCTATGATTCTATTACTTGATGGGGATGGTACTTGAAAGTCTTGATAATCTTTAAGAAATACCATAAATAGATTACTAAATTACAGTATTGATACTGTTTATTTTATGATTATTCTCTTAGTAATAATCCTGAAATAACTAAACATACACTATTTACTAAATCCAAAAGCATCTTACGCTATATTTAAATATAGGTAAAAGCCACACCAAATATTTAAGAAAAATGTATAGGAGAAAATACAAAAATTGATTTTTTTCCTTTTAAGTAACAATTGATAAATGCCCACTTTTGTTGCTTTTAAAAGAAATACTGTTGCTGCTGAAAAACACCAGTGTTTCCAAGGATTGGCTATATGAGGTTGAATTCCTTTGACATTCACATGACTGCTGTTTTCACTACAACATTGAATCTCCCCCTTACTACATTTGCTACAGACCTCAGCTTAACTGTGTGACAAATGTCACACTTACTGTCCTCTTTGTTTCAAAACCCAGTGGATACTTTCCACCTCTCAGCAGTATTTGATACTGATAACTATTTTCTTCTTGTAGCATTCTGCTGCCTGGGCTCTTGTGACTTGCCTTCTCAGATTCTTCTCCTTCTTCTCTATTTACAGTCTTGGACTCTTCTGCTTGCCTCCTAAGTACTGGTATTCTCCAAGGCTCCATCCTAAGCATCTTCTTGCTCTATAATCCTTTCCTCTATCATTCTTCACCTACATGCTAATGATTCAGCCTAATCTGATCTCCAAATCATTCAAGTAACTGCCTAAAACATTGCCAGTCACTGCTGGATGCCCCTGACTCAGCGTATCTAAACTGCAACTTATCAGCGTCCCAAATCTGGGTCACTTATGTGTATATACATGGGATTTTCTTGCTACCAACATGCTGACTTGGACACACGACTCGACTCTAGATCTCTAGATGTTTCTTCTTCTTTTTTTTTTTTTCTTTTTGAAGACGAAGTTTCACTGTTGCTCAAGCAGGTCTTGAACTCCTAAACTCAAGTGATCCTCCTGCCTCGGCCTACCAAAGTGCTAGGATTACAGGCATGAACCACCACACACAGCACAGGTGTTAAACTCCCCCTACTTTTTTTTTGAGACAGGTCTATAGTGGTGCCGTCGCAGCTGACTGAAGCCTCAACTCCCAGCAGGCTCAAGTGATCCTCCCACATCAGCCTCTCAAGTAGCTGGGACCACAGGCCTGCACCACTATATCTGGCTAATTTTTTTTGTATTTTTTTGTAGCAACAGGGCTTCACCATATTGTCCAGGCTGGTCTCGAACTCCTGAACTCAAGTGATCTGCTGGCCTTGGCCTCCCAAACTGCTGAGATTACAGGCATGAGCCACTGCACGCAGCCACTAGATGTTCAGCTTCTATTCATATAGTTCCATTGCATTTTATTGGATAGTGTAAGTAGAAGTTTAGGATGGTAAGAATCTTACTTCTTCACGTTTTCTCATTCTTTAAAAAAAAGTTAACAATTCTGGCTTTCTGGATACCATTTTTACCATACACAGTAAGCACTGGTACTCAAACGTGGTTGTGCATCAAAATCACTTGGGATGTGTTCTAAAATTGAGATCCCTGGATCTATCCTGAAACTATAATTCCTAAAACACAAAACAACATAGACATAGGTTATCTACTCTATGGTTTTTGTAATAGCAAATGATTGGAAATAGCAGAGATGTTCAACAGCAAGAGACTAATGAAATAAATTGTAGTACCTCCGTATAAGGGAGTATTCTTCAGCTAATTTTTATAAAAAAAAAAAAAAAAAAAGAAAGAAAGAAAGAAAGAAAGATCGCTACAAATTGGTAGGGAATAGTTTCCAAGATACTGTATTAAATAAGAAAAAGCAAGATGTAAAACAATGCATATCATTTTATTTGTATGTGTTTGAATGTTGGGGGGAAAAAAGCACAGGAAATATAAACCAGAAGTTAATGAAAATAGCCAGGAATGGTGACTCGTGCCTCTAATTCTAGCACTTTGAGAGGCTGAGGTAGGAGGATTGCTTGAGCCCAGGAGTTTCAGACCAGGTTGAGCAAAATAGCAAGACTCTGTCTCAAAAAATAATAATAAGTTAGCCAGGCACAGTGGCATGCGCCTGTAGTCCAGCCACCCTGGAGGCTGATATGAGAGGATTGTGTGAGCCCAGGAGGCTGAGACTGCAGTAATCCATCATAAGAAGAAGAAGAAATTGATGAAAATAGTTACCCACAGAAGGGATGAAAACAGTATAGGACAGACAGGGGTTAGGAATGAGATCTCTGAGATTAACTTATTATATAGTTTGACTTCTGAATCATGTGTCTTACACATTCAAAAAATAAATAAAAGAAACAAAAGCAAAACAGAAAATTGAACACAAACAGAAACAAACAAATCTATCAAGTGAATTGCATAACCACTAAGAGACAATGATTATTTCAAGTTATGTTTAAATATTTTGGATAAACATTTTAAGTTACTCTAACTATACACTCCTAGTAGTTATACTCTGAAGACAAAAGATCTACAAAATGATCTTAAACTTCACTCATTATGATTAATGTTTGTTGTAATATTGTTATTGTAATTTTGAAATTATATATTGTAGGATAAAGAAAATAAGTAAATGTATCGTATTTTATCAAAGATTTTTAATGTACATGGAAAGAAACACAAATATAAAATAAAGTAAGTTAGATAAAACCTCCTACAACATTAAGCTGGAATTGAAAATATCAATATGGGCTTGTGATTTCTTAAAATGTATTTTCTAGTTCTATGTACCAAAAGGACCTGAAAGCAATGTCACCCCAGGAACTCTGATCACACCCACTATCTCAATTTTGTTTGTTTGTTTATTAGACAGGTTGTGCTGGAATTCAATGTCACAATCATAGCTCACTGTGACCTTGAACTCCTGGCCTCACGTGATCTTTCTGCCTCCCCCTTCCCAAAGTGTTGGGATTACAGCTCACTGCACTCAGTCTAATTTTGGTTTTGGAATCTGGGTGATTTTGTGTTTTCTAAAGCAAGGACCAGCCAGGCGTAGTGGCTCACGCCTTTAATCCCAGCACTTTGGGATGCTGAGGTGGGCAGATCATTTGAGGTCAGGAATTTGAAACCAGCCTGGCTAACATGGCGAAACCCCATCTCTACTAAAAATGTAAAAATTATCCAGGTGTGGTTGTGTGAGCCTGTAATCCCAGCTACTTCGGAGGCTAGGGCAGGAGAATTGCTTGAACCAGGGATATGGAGGTTGCAGTGAGCCAAGATGGTACCACTACACTCCAGCAAAAATAAATAAATAAATAAACAGGAGGAAAATTTTAGTATCAAAAGGAATAATGACTGCACTTGATTATAGCATACTAAGTAAATAAAATTGATGTGTTAATTGCGATAGTTAAAAAATGAATGAAATGCCAGTTTATAGAAAATTTTTAAGAAGAAATTCTAAAAATAGAAACCAGCATTTTCAAAAACCAGCATTTTGCAACCCCCAGTGTAATAACCGATTCAAGTAAGTATCACCAAAGGATATGAGCACCAATGGGGAACTGATAATCTCATGGCAGTAGTAGATTATGAGTTGCAAAGGGAAAAATGTACCTATACAGTAAAGGTACTTATCACTCACCTCTTAATCAAGTTATCAAACACAGTATCAATAATGGGACACAGCTGATACATATTTCATGCTATGATGCAATAAGATATATATAAGATTAGCTATTAAGTATTCTTACCAAAAGTATTTAACCTGATTTTAATCAAGGCTCTAGATCAGTAGTTTGATCGAGATATTATATGAACCACATATGTAATTTAAAAGTATCTAGTGGCCACATTGAAAAAAGAAACAGGTGACATTTGAATGATACATTTTATTTAATCCAACATATTCAAAATATTATTTCAAGATGGTAATCAATATAAAAATTATTAATAAAATATTTTACATTTTTTCATCCTAGTCTATAAAATCTGGCCTGTATGTTACCCTATAGCACGCTTCGATTTGAACTAGTCACATTTCAAGTGCTCAAAATTCACATGTCTAGTGACTACCATTTTGGAGAGCACAGTTGTAGACCTAATTTCCAATTTGCCCCAAATCCAAGGAAGTGAGGTACCAACTAAATGATACCATAAGGAAACAGAAAGATCTAGAACAAAGGTGAGAAAACTTTCTTTTGCAAAGGGAAAGATAGTAAATATTTCAGGCTTTGCATGCTATATATGGCCTCCATCACTCCTCCATCTCCTCCTTCCTTCTCTTCCTCTTCTTTTTTAATAATCCTTTAAATATGTAAAGCCTATTCTTAGCTCTACGGCTGTACAAAAACAGACTGTAGTTTGCCCA